ATTTTTGCCAAGTGGATTTTTACTTAGCAGAAGGGGAGCAGGAAGATCTTAATTCACCCAATAAATCCATCCAACTATTATCAGAAATATCTTTTCATAACTTTAGATAACATGAGTCACTTTAAAAAAGATATATCAATGAAGCCCACCTCTGGTGAGGTGAAAGCTGCAAAAGCCAACTTTCAGGTCCCCAGGGACAGGCAGGGATAGGAAATTTCCCACCTAACAGCACTACCTTTCAGGGAAGAAAAGCAGCTACTCAGCAAGTTCTGAACTCCTCAAAATGCAGGACGACTTCCAGAGACCACAGGGGAGTTTCTCATTGCCACAATAGAATTAATTCAGGCAAGTAAAGCAGAACAGCCACACCCAAGAGGATGAGACCACCAGGGGAAGCCCGGGTTTAAGATGCACAAAGGAAATTTCCTTGGGTTTAATTCTTTTTTAGGGTTACTGTTTGACAAGGAAAATATGTACAATAAAGAAGGGAGTCAAATAGCCCCCTCCCTATTTTACTGCTGGAATTGTCAGTTGAGAGCAAGAAAAAGTACCCGTAGGGGGAAGATAACAAGCAGAAGAGAGTTCCTGCTCACCACAGTGCATCATCCCCTTCTGAAGGGGAACACCCAGCGAAGCTGAGCGTGACACACACTGGTCCCGCACCTGCACATTTTCCAGTGGTGCAAACACATCTGGCCAACCCAAGGAGCAGCTCTAGGTTGCTCTCATCCCCACATTGAAGCATCCTGCTGGCTCCAGGCCTAAGGAATTAACACCCAGCACTCACCTCATCAGTGCTCTTTTCTACAAAATACACATAACATGTTGCTCATATTCAAGAATAAGCTGTTCAGGGACCACATCTGCACATTCTGTATTCTCAGGGGAGGATTTCTGCCAGTTTGGCTGGCCGAACTTCAGTGCTACCTGTATGAGAAATCCCTCTGTCCCCCCATTCTCAGACAAACCTGAGGAAATCCAGCTTTCACCAACAGAGAAGGAAGATTAGAGGTGCTCCACACCGTGACAATCCATGGCGGCAGGAGCCAGGACACCAGCCAGCAGACTGGGAACAAACAGCCCGCGGCTGCACTGCCACCTCCCTGGAGCTCACATTTTCTACGGAAATCTCGAAACTAAAGAAAAAGAAGCCCCAGCGATGGAATGAACCTGCCAGATGAGGAAGCCTCTGGGCACACAGCAAGGACCGGGATTACTGCGGGACACGCTGTTCAAAAGAGCAAATCTCCGGAACCAACGCAACAAGAGAGACAACAAATCGCCCTTAAAGTGAAAACCTGCTGAGGAAAAAGGCGCGGGCGGCACCGCAGCGCCCGCCCCTCCCGCGCCCCGGGGCAGCATCGCCGGGCAGCCGCTATTCACGCGAAAGGACCGAAATCGAACGGCAAAACAGCATTGCAAGAGCATGAAGTAATCCCACCCCTGCAGTTCGTGTTTTCCTAAACAATCAGCTACTCCAAGTGTAAAGGGAAAAAGGCAAGGGAAAAGAAAAAAAAATTAAAACGTGCTGCAAAGTCAGGAGATGTTTTGCAACTCCCGGGCTCCCGCGGCAGAGCCCTGCGCTCCCGACGACCACGGAGGAAGGGGAGGAAGGGGGAGAAGGGGGTAGAAGCCTCTCACTTGCTCCGCCGTCCCTCTGTCCCGGTACCGCTGGGGGAACGCGCTCCGGCCGGGGCCCGGGGCAGGAAACGGGCGGTGGGGACGGAGGGGCGGCCCCGGGAGCCACCCCCGCCCGCCGCACGGCCCGGCCCGCCCCGCCCCGGGATGCTCGGCCGGGACGGACCCGCCCGGCCCGGAGCTCGGTCCCGCCGCCCCGGGGAGGGCTCCGGGATGCGATGGGAACCGGTGCGTGTCCGCAGGCCCGGCCGGGGGTTCCTGCCCGGAGCGGTGGCAGCGGCGCTTACCGTGGCTCGGCTGGGTCGGGAACTCGCTGCTCCGTTGCGGTTTGTTCCCGAGTTTAACAAAACCGGTTTGAAATCGCTGTGCAAAGTGCCGGGAGCAGCAAAGCCCGCCGAGCCCGCCGGAGGGCAAGGGGAGCGCTTGGAGCACCGGCAGCTACACCGGAGCCCCGAGCCACCCTCGAGCCCCCGCGAGTGCGGGCAGGGCAGGGTGACAGACCCCGCGCCCCACACACAGCCCACGAGCAGGGTGACAGCCTCCCCCGGGCACGGGCAGGGTGACAGCCCCACGCACTCCACCCGCTGGAAATCGGCCTGCTGCTTTTTTTAGTTAAGTGGTTACGGTTCTAACCTCAGAGTCTGGTGGAATCTGCTAGAGCAGGATGGCTGGAGAAAGTGAAACGCTGTCCCAAGCCAGATGCTCATTTTAGGTCATGCGAATCCACCGTGCTGGTGAACAGAGACAGGATGCTGCAGGCAGCACACGTGCTGCTTCACAGGCTCCAATGTGGGATTTGAAGTGCATCAAAGCAATGTGCCAGACCCAGAGCTTTGATGGCTTGGGGATCCCTGCTCTCCTAAGAGAAACCAGAGAACCGAGGGGCCACGGTGCTTTGCCATCATTACAAACTCCTCTTTGAGGGCTGCTGCTCTTCCCTGTGTTCCCTCCATCCCTGCTGATCATTTCTCTTCCCCTCCACCACTTGCCCTGCTGTCCACTGGTGATGCAGCTGGAGCTGGTAATGCTTCCCAGCTGGAGTCCCCAGCCCCTCTGCACCCCTCTGCCTGCTGTCTGGGGCACCTGCAGACACAAACCCACCTCAGCCCCTCGTGGTGTTCACATGCACTGAGGCACAGGCAGGGCAGACAGCTCTGATGGGTTTGGGTGAGTGCCTTTAGGCACCTCTGTGTGCTGTGGCTGCACATCCCTGTGTGCCAGTGCCATGTGGATCAGATCCCTGCCACCACTGCATCCCTGCAGCTCAGTGCTGAACAACAGCGAGCTGCAGCTTGCTCTCAGTTCCTGCTGTGTTGCCCCAGACCAGTCTATGGCAATGCAGATGGAAGCAGGGTCAGGCCCTCTCTATGCAGCCCCCTCAGCCAGCCCAAAAACTGGCTTTGTCCAGTCATTGGGGCTAGATGGGGTTTTCTCAGCAATGCTCAGCTGACGGGCACTGCAGGGTGGGCTGGGAACCAGGGGAAGGTAGGGACACAGTGCCTCCCTGGACAAAACAACAGGGTGTTAAGCCTGGGACATACTATATACATATATAGTTATATATATAACTATATAACATACTGTTAAATTCAGGCACTGAACAGCTCAAATTTGCCACGTTCTTCCCATTGGTATTTTGTGCACATCCCTCTGCCATGCTGCAGGGCCGTGGAGTGTTTAATTCCAGGGAAAAAATTCTAAGAACACTCAACCAGTGATGATGTGTATCATCAGCCTGTGCTGCCAGCCCAGGGTTTATGTGACTGCCTCTCATCAGCAATGCCCCTGACATGAGGCTTTGCCTGGTGATTTGGAGGTTAAGGCTTCTGGGATTTACCAGTGGAGATAAATGAGCTGATGGGCAGCCCAAGGAGTATCCATGAAACCCTGTGTTAGCATTAATCTTTGGGCTGGGAATAGCAGGGCCTCATCTGTCTGTCGCCAAAACTGCATCATTCTCACACTTCATATTTGGCAAAACACGAACACACAAAGTAAACCATGTGATTTAGTTGGGGGAAAATATACTCTAGGACAAGGAAAGAGACACTGCAGGGAAACTGTCTGCTGAGAACAGCAAATGCATTTTTCTTTGTATGATTAAACAGAAAAAACCTCATGATAAGCCCACATCTGGCAGAGGACCTGCAGTATGAGCTGAGCTCCCAAGCCAAAACGCTCGAGGCGTGCTCTGGGTATGGAAGGGAAAACACTTTCCCCTCTCAGTCGAGAGCAGCCTTGATGCAGAACATCGGCTCCAAGAGAGGGCTTGGGGGGTGGAAGTGGCTCCTCACTCAGGCTGAGCAGCTTCTCTGGAGAGACTGAGCCTGAGCCCTCAAACTGCACAGAGGGCAGGTCCTGACCCACACGGTGCTGTGCAGTCAATAGTCACTGGGTGTGGATGGAAGGGGGGCTGAAAGGCTTTGCTGGGTGCATTTCACAGCCCTTGGGACGTGCTACTGCCCACCTGGAGCAGAGCAAACTGCAGGGGCTGCCCCTCTGGCCTGACTCTGCCCCAGGCTCTCCTGATGCTGCACAGCTGCTCTGGGGAGGAGCCCAGGAGGGGAATGGTAGCAGGGCACGGCTGCCCAGCCTGGACGTCCAAAATCTGTGTATCCTGAAAGCCAAGCAATGCAGAGGCCTCAGGACAAGTGGAAGGAAGGCAGGAATGCTGATGAGCTTTTTGGCTTAATTGATTTTAGATTGCATCAAATATTGCTATTCAATAGGACCACAGAGATGCTCCAAGGGCTGGAGCCCCTCTGCTCTGGAGACAGGCTGGGAGAACTGGAGATGAGAAGGCTCTGGGGAGACCTGAGAACCCCTTCCAGGGCCTAAAGGGGCTCCAAGAGAGCTGGAAAGGGACTTTGGACAAGGGCCTGGAGGGACAGGACAAGGGGGAATGGCTTCCCACTGCCAGAGGGCAGAGTTAGATGGGATACTGGGAAGAAATTAATGTCTCTGAGGGTGGAGAGGCCCTGGCACAGGTTGCCCAGAGAAGCTGTGGCTGCCCCTGGATCCCTGGAAGTGTCCAAGGCCAGGCTGGACAGGGCTTGGATTCAACTGGTCTTGTGGAAGGTGTCCCCGCCCATGGCAGGGGGGTTGGACTAGATGGTCTTTGATGTTCCTTCCAACCCAAACCATTCTGTGATTCTGTGATTGACCACTCTGCCTTAGCAGGGAGCAAAGGCTGCTGCAAGGATGTGTCATGGTGCCATGAGCATCCTTCTCCCTGCAGGACTGTGACCCTGCAGATGCTGCCCTGCCACTGACCCCAGTCTGGCCAGTCATGGCCAACCCCTATGACATGTCCATGGAGGCTGGGGGGGCAGAAGGTCAGACCCCAGCCAGTGAGGGTTAACATGACCGTATTTGACCACAAATCAGATCTGACTGGGCTATGGATGGAGCCCAGCCAGGGGTCAGGTGAGTGGGTCCTCCTTGGAACAGCAAGCAGGTCTGCAGTCAGGGACTCTCCTGTTGAGTTGAGGTGCTGCCCCAGGGAAGTCCATGAGGCTGAGAATCCTCACCCCACTGGGCGAGGGATTGCTCATTCTGGGTTACCCTTTGAAACCTCAAGAATTCTGAAATCAGTCAGGTAGCACCAGTTCCATTGGACACCATAAATCTGTATTCAAATGTTGATGAAGCTTAATTGGTTTAATAAATTCAGTTAATCTGGCTTAACTGGTGTATAAAATAAATCTCATTTGAATACATTATTTGTCTCAATTTCATAAGCCTCCATGACACTCCACCATCACACTATTCTATTTTAGATCACTTCTCCAGACAGTTGGACAAAGTGGCTCTTAACGTCCCTCCAGGCAGCTCTAAATCTGCTGTGGAACAGTGGGTTACCAGAAAAATGAGCTATAATTAACACTGAAAGTCTCTCCCTTTCCAGTCCTCTATAAGCTTATGAAGGGCAATGATTTTGTGATGGCAGGGCAGCCTCATGGACAAGTCTTCTGGAAGGTGTTGCTTTTTCAGAATCAAGACACCAGCTCTGCTTTAAAGCACCAGTCTGTGTGATGAGCTTGGCCAACAACACTGACATCAACACTGACACTGTGCACCCCCAAATCCTGCCTGGCAGTTCAGCTCCAAGAAACCCGGTGCATGTGCATTCCTGCTCATCGTGCTTCAAACACAGGTACTATTAAACCCAGCCTGGAGTTGCAGATGAAACAATGACAAATCATCCCTTTTGATAGACCTACTTCACTTCTGGGACAGCTGCTGGGCCTTACCTTCTGCTCATCAGTGGCTGCAGCCTCCCCACAAGGCCTCCTTCCGAAAAACTATGTTGATGTGTCTATAAAACATAAACCATGTTTATGTTTATGCTGTCTGTGGTTTGAGACCCAGCCACAGAACCTCGTCTAACTCCCCTCTTACTTCACAGGCTTCCATGTCCAGGACTTCATGCACAGCTAATGAGCTGGGTTTATAATGAAGGCAGCTCCTAATGAGCTGATACAAGATGCAGCAAAGGATGATACTTGCTTTGAGAAGCACTGATCAAAGCCCTGTGCTTTCTGCTTGGAGAGTGTAATTAACAATTTCTGAAAAATCAAGTTCAGGTTGATTAAAAATGCCATCTGACAGCTCAAGAGTGTTAAGATGTCTTGTAATCTGCAGCACAGACTTGGGATAAACTCAACACTCCTCCTTCCCAAGAAGAAGAAGGGCTTTTTTTTTCATTTCCCAACAGCCTGCAACCTGTTGCCCAACCAAGCCTGGCACATGGTTTTGCAGGGGGATGGATCTGGCCCAGGAGGGCTTTCAGGGCTATGGGACCAGGTGCAGAGTCCCTGTAGTGGTTTGGGAGATTCCTGCCTCAGAGATGATGGAATGAGAGCTGCAGAATCCTCGTCAGTCTTGAATACAACCAAGTCCAGGCAGTTCTTTGGTCCTGATAATCTGTACTTCTTGCCAGGCCACAAACTCTCAGGCTGTGTCCAAGCTACTTGATCCCTGGGTTCACTTATGCATCTCCCCAACATGCAGGTGCTTAATCCTCCCTTTCTGGACTCCCACTTCACTTTGAGATCCTCCTGCTTAACTCTTCAGCCATGTGAGGTCTGGAACACACAAACTGACTCATTTGACCCCAAACCCAGCCACAGCCTGTGCAGTGAGTTTCCAACACAGCACTGACACCTTCCATGCCTGGCAGGGGAGGGCACCACGGGAGAAAATCACAGGCACCCAAAAGCATCACTGCATGCATCCGTTCTCCTGGCTCAGGGAAAGAACCATAGCTTTGGGACAGTTCCCTCTTGCCTTCAGCTCCTGCTAAAGCTGAATTCACCTGGCACAGAGAAAATTTTTTATTCCCAGTTTCTAATACCTCTCATCAGTCTTTTTCCAGGTGGTTTCACTGTCAGGGGAACATCTCCCAGACCACATCACTACAGTCATAATCAGCCCTTATCTGCAGCTTTTGAATTTGAATGGAGGCCAGGGCCACTAAATGACTCCCTGTTGTAAGGCCAGAACTACTTTGTCGCCTCAACTTCGAGAGAAAACCGAAAACAAAGGGGGTAAAACACATTCCTGGAATCTGATCTACTGAGTGGCATCTCTGCCCATGGCAGGTGATTGGAACAAGGTGATCTTTAAGGTCTCTTCCAACGAAAACAGTTCTGTGATTCCCTGATGAAGTACAGGTGGATGTACTGGGAGCAGCAGGGTCTTGGAGACCATCTCAGTCACCCCATCAGCAGCTCTGCACTGATGCCTGTGCTCTCCTCACAGGAGCTGAACCAGGCCTTCCTCATTCAGGCCAAGGCTGGGTTCAGCCCTTATAAAGACAAATACCCATTTCACAGGGAACTCACCTGTGTTTTCACAGCCAAGTGTGATACAGATCCAGTGCTGCCCACTGGAATGATGCTTCTGATTTAATATGATGGAAACAAGAGCTGTTCAAAGTTGCTATGATCTTCCAGAGTGTTGGGCATGACCAAACTGCCTGGGGAAATTAGGGTGCTGTGGAAGACAGTCTCCATGGCTGGCCCGTCTTAAAAAAGCTGACTTGTAAAAGCCATAGCTGCTGATTTCAAGACAGCACCTCTGATGGCTCCTTATCAGTCCTTGCTCCAAAGCACAGAGGAGCAACTTTTTCATCTGCAGGCTGATAGAGCTGCCTCCATGGAACCAATAACCACCCAATTTCCGTCTCTCCATGCACTCAGTGGAGATACTATAGGAGTATGGAGCTGTTCAAGACATGAAGAACTCCTGCTTTGGGCAGATGACATGGTATGGAAACAACAACCCTTCCAAGATGTTCCAGGTTCCCACCACTAATTTTTTTTTTTCCTGAGATGAGGCATTAAAATGATGATACAAGAAAGGAATTTTTATTTCTGTAACATCAGAAAGAGCAGATAGGAACTTTTCTGAAAAGATCTGAGCTGGAACTCTGATAGTGCTGACTTTCCCCACAAGGCTGAGAAGGGGAAGGTCATTTAGCACAAATCTCACTAGTGAATACAAGGATGAGCTCTGAGCAGATGTGTGAGGGAGAAACTGAGTGTGAGACATGAGGAGGAATCCAAAGTCCTTCCAGAGATGACATGCACGTGTCTGCACATCCACACTGCTATATATGAAAGATTCTTGCTCCCTTTCAGCTGAATGTCCCCAGAGAGATGCAAAATGGACAGCTCAATTTGTAAGTGAACTTCAAGTGCCTTGAAAAACTCCGACTTATGTCTTAAATCAAGTTCAGGAGTAATGAAAAGGAGATTTCCAGCACATGGAGATCTGCAGTAATTTTTGAATTCTTGAAGAGGAAGATGAAACTGAATAAAGGGAAACAACAAGCTCGATTCTGAGCTTGATTGCTGCCCACAGGGAGCAGGATGGAGCTCATCAAATGCTCTTACCTCTGCAATAGATGATGTGATGGCCTGGAGCTGAAAGGTCTTGTCTGAGACCAGCAGATGAAGATGACATTAATCTGAATTGATTAATCAAATCTTAATCTGGCAGTGATGTCTGCAGAAATTTAGATCCCTTCCTCCACCTGATGCAGTCTTTTCCATCATCAGCTTTCACATACAGTCTGACTTAATCAGTTTTGTGCAGAAGACTTTGAGACACAGTGTCAACCTCTTTAGTAAAATCTAAATATATTACTGCAACCTCTTCTAGCTTCAGTCACCACACCCCAGACTCAGAGCTGGCGTTTCCCTTCTCCTCTGGCTCCTAGTTATAAGCTACACAGGGAAAATAATTAAGGAGCAGTGAGGAAAAGCAATTAATAAAGCCATGGCTTATTGTCAGAGCCAGGTGGATTCTGACTCTGGATCTCTGTTTACATGGATACAGGAATATCCAGAGTTTTTCCTTTCTCAGTCTATGCTCCAATTCAGTCACCACTGAAGCAGATCTATTTGTACAGTTACTGCCAGCTCTCTCCTCTTTTGCACCTTGCACCACATTTTTTTTCCAAACTTTTGAACTTTTACCCATTTTAATCTTCTGTACCACAGGAGAATGGACTGTGCACAGTCACACCAGGCCCTGCTCACCACAGCATAGGCATCACCTCCCTCAGCAGGCAGCTCAGTGCCTGGGCATTAACCAAAAAGGGCTCCTGCAGCAGCTCCCAGCTTGCCCAGTTGCTGGCTTTGGGCAGAGAAGGCTGTGGGGCCTTGGTGAGATGCCCCCAGAGCTGGCAGGGGCAGTGGCATGTCTGGAGAGCCCATCTGTGCTCTCCTCCATCCCCTGCACAGACACTGGGCAAACATCCACTGCAAAACAACCCTCACTGTGCTGGCCCAAAACACACTGAGGAGGGAAATGTAGGTCCTGTCAATGTTAAAGGCTTGGTGTTCTTTTCTTCAGGTGGAAAACAGGCATTTGGGAATAGACCTAAATGTGCTTGAGTGGAAGCTGTGCCTCTCTGAGCTACGGACCCCCTTGTCTGAACTTTCTCCAAGAAGCAGCCAACACCATTTTAGCTGTTATCCAGGAATATTATAGTGTAAGACAGAAAGTAAGTCTGTTGTACACTTTACCAGCAACTCTGAGAGAAATCAGAAAAGGCCCCTGCTCCTCTCCATCCTCCACAGGGCTCCAGTTCAGAGTCAGCCCGAGCATGAGCTCGCTGCTGTCAGAGGCTCGTGGTCACATCCCAAGTGAGTCACTGGCGTGGCCAATGTTCCCACCACCCCCAGCCTTTGTGTTCCCTTCCAAGCTTCATGAATACATGAACACCACCATGGGCCAGAGGCTGCTGGCTGTGTGCTCTGTGAGGGACAGGGAATTCAGGGTCACAAGTGTGATTACACCAAGCCCTGTCTCTACCCACAGCGAACAGCAGAAGCACGGGGTACCAGACACTACACAGTGTTATTTCCCTGGCAAACTGTGGAAAAGAGACCTCCTTCCCCACAGCTCAGATATTT